TTGTTCTGATTCCTTCAATTGATGATTGTAGTAGTGCTCAGGTGATCAGGCTGGCTGTTTCTTTGGAATGTTGAAAATGGTATAATTGGTGGCTTATTCTGGAAATTCAGAGAGTGATGGATTAGACCAGTTGGTCTGCCTTTACTGATAGTTGGCACAGGCTTGGAAACATTGAGTGGTATCATATATGGTGTTGCCGTCAAACCTGTGAAAGCTACCTTGCTCAGGAGTGATCACTGAATATTGAGGAAGTTTGCTGATGAGTCTTGCATGGAGGTGCTAAGTGGGTACAGTGGTGATATGTTGGCCACACCTTGCATGGTGTGAATGTATACCAGCATGGAGATCACCGTGGCTCCTCACAGAGGGAAGGTGTCCTGTTATGTATATTCTTGTGGGTCAGTGTGGATCAGTGTTGTCAATGACAAGTGGTTCTGATGGTCCCCCTTTTGGACAGGTGTGTGGGAATAATACTGAAAAGTTATTGCTGTGTGTATGTATTTCACCATATCTGTGTGGTGTTCCCTTGTCAATAAGCGCACACAAGTTGCCTTTGTGCCTCAAAGGCAGTCCCGTGTGCGCTTGTTGTTGAGCAACTGCCACAACTTCAAGGACACAGTCTTTGGAAGTGTCTAGCCACTAGATTTTAGCTGTTATAAAACTGCACAGCACGTCTGAGAGCATCCACTATGGTTGTGTTAACAATGTGATTTAGCATCAGTTCAATGCTAAAATACAGACAGGTCCACAATGGACCAGTTTCAGACCTGCAGTCCATATGAATGTGTCAAACACCAAATCTATTGTAATGGCTTGGTAGTTCAATATAGTAGAAAAATCACAGGCAGGTGTAATAGTTCCACTTTACGTTTTACATACACTAGGACCTAGGCAGGCTTGCCCGCCTTTAGATTTAACATTTCTCCCATATTAAGCACTTAATTGTGTAACTTGTTAGGAGCTGAGTATCTGCGCATGGCCAAGGTTTATGAGATAGGGATAGAGGAATGAGAACTTCAGGTTGCAAGATTAGTATAAAATGGCAACTTCAGTCTCAGGATAATGACCTGAAGGCTGAAAGGAGGAAAGGAACAGGATTATTCAAAATAGGAAAGTAATGGAAGATTCAGATTTGATGCAGTTATGGAACAAGGAAGTGCAAAGTTGAGTATGCAAAGTTAGAGCAGCCATTGGCTCAAAATTAGCAAGGGTGGCGGGAGAGAGAAGTGGAAAGGGAAAAATCTTAATACAGGAAGAATCATGTGCAAAATTAAAAACAGAAATGTAATTGTATAGCTCAGCCAAAATCCATAGAAGAGCAAAGTACCAATGAACAGATTGGAATCAATCAAGGAAATTCTCAAGACGCATTAAGAAGGTGTGTTCTGCAATCTATGTCATAGACTACATGTCCAAACTTAAAAGGCAAACATAATGCAAACTGACAGACATTAGCTGCACTAACACCAATAGCTACAAAAAGAAGATTAAGGCTTTAGCAATATAAGATTCCACAGTAAAGAGGTTGCAGGTATTTTTGTGGTCTAGTAAAGTTGCATGAGATGAATTTCCACTTGATATGAAAAGTGGTTGGCAGTTTTGCTTGATTTTTAGCGGAATGATAATTTGAGGGCGTTGATTGAAGTGTGAATACAATTGATGTAATAGGAATGAAAGGAGAGAAGAGTGATCATTCAAAAATGGGAATGCAAAAGTAGAGTGCGCATAGCATAAAATGCAGGTCTTGATGTAATTATTGGGGACAGGAGTGGCGAGAATATAATGAAAAAGGAAGCTGAATGCTTTTTGATGGAGGTAGTTGCAAAAAGTGAAAATCATGCTTTTTGGAAAGTAATGTTAGGGTACAATACAAGTTGCTTTTGTACAATACGGACATGTATGGGTTGTATGTGAGATTGAGCCTATCAGTGGATAAGACATAGTATGTGAGGCCTGAGGTTACCAAAAATCAATCTTGCTTTTATAGATATGTTATGAAAGGATGTACCAAACTTATAAGCATACAGTGTGTAGAAAAGCATAATCGCTTTTATAAAGCAACTTTGGGCAGAATGGGTAGATGTACAGTGTGTACACAAGCACAATAGCTTTTATAACAGCAATATGCTTTTGAAAATAGAATTTTTATAAGAGTAGCATGGCTACAAATAGAGCGTGAAAAGATAACAGAATGTATGAGATTTAGATTGTTAGATAAGCACTGTTGCTTCTGTAAAAGCATTGTTAATTTTGAAGACAAAGAGGTTTGGATTGTATATATAAGCACTGTTGCTTTTATAAAAGCATTGTTAATTTTGAAAATGACTGCTTTTCCACAAGAGAAAAGCATTGAGATATTGATGAGAGGGTGTTGATAAATTTCACCGCAAGGAAAAATGTATAAATCGGGAGTGATATGATTGAAGGATAAGTTGTTCAACACATTCTGCGGGTCCCATTGGTCAAACAACCCTTGGATCACCCATAAAGCAGATGTGTAAAGCCTGGCCCCCTGTAGTCTTGCCCTTAAGTTAATTTGTAGCATAAATGCTGGCCAATTTTTCAAGAAGGGGGGGCTTAGGGATTTAACTTTATGTACAGTCAATTTCATAAAGGTTGAACTTGAGGCGTTTTGAAACTCAAGAGGTGGTCCATGCTCCATCTGTGACAGGTATCAAAATTACCTGCCAAATCAAACAACATACAGTGCTGAATGCTTCAACAACCCCAGGGCCTTTATTCCTTGGTGGTGCAGCAGTCAGAAGCTGTGATTATGATGTGCAACTTTAATATTCCCATGTTCAACTTGCTGTCCTACTTTTTTTTGCCACCATTTTTGTCTACAATCAAAGATGGAAGCAAATGTGAGCAAACCATAACAGCATACTTTGTCCATTCTTTTAGTTCATGAAAACAAGCAAATCAAATATGAAAAACTTGTTAAAAAGTGTGTTGACTTAAAAGAAAGCCACTGGGGCTTGAACCCAAAAAGGCACACCTTTTACCAAACTTAACAAAGTCCCTCGCCAAAGGCCCGAGCCCCAGCGAGGGACTTACCGCATAAACTGGAATCCTGGCGTGAGAAGTGAGCTGTATTTGCTCCAAATTCTCTACATCTGTTTGTTTTTTTTGTCTCTCAATAAACATGTCTTGCAACAAAGAAAGAAGAAAATGGCAAGGGACCATTACATATGTACCAATTGCAACCTCCTTTCTATCTTGCTGGGAAGTTATCTTTTTGAGTAGTTGAAGATCAGTTATTTTGACCGCTTTCTGAGAAATACAGGCTTTGAGCCGGCTTGCCGCTGCTGAAAAATGAAAACAGACCTGTTTTTGATTCCCCAGTAGCCCAAGTTCCAGACCAGATTTGGGGGAGCTTGCAATTGGCTCATATGTAATGAATATTTGCCATCATCCTTTTATTTACCTCCGAGACCTGTTTATTTAGGAACAAATCGAAGAATTCAAAGTAGTGTTTTTTGTGCCAATACAGGCTACTTCTCACGTCAGGATTCTGTTCTATGCGGTAAGTCCCTCGCTGGGGCTCAGGCCTTTGGCAAGGGACTTTGTTAAGTTTGACCTTTTACATGATGTTTGTACCCATGTGCAGGGCATTAATCCAACTCACTACATGCAAAGTGGTGACGCCACGGGTGTGGGGTCGCACTGACCCCAGATTGAGCCCCAGCTTTTGCAAGACCCCCCCTTGGGTTTTGTGCAGCACCAATGCGACCCCGTGTCTGCAGGGTCAGCACTTTGCATGTAGTGACTGCACCAGAAGTCTTTTTGAGACCTTTGTGGGTATGCTGTTCAGATCAGCAATTCTATATGCATATTTGATACCTGTCACAGATGGCACACAGTCCACGTCTTGATATTCAAAACACCTTGATTTCAACTTTTATGAAACTGACTGTAATAGATAGTCAGTGTTAAATGTGAAATCAAAAGCACTTTGAAAAAAATAAAGATAAAAAACAAAAATATTCCATAGTGAATTTCATGTGGCTACCAACTTAGGTAAAAACACATGATGAAATTTTGCAATAAGGACTGCAAAATTGACAATCAATCACCCTCATGAATCATGAGGGTAGTCATGATAGTGGATGACCTGATGCCCCCTGTTGTCTTTTTGTACTTGCCCCAAATCTTCAAAATGTCTCTTACCTTCCCTTCGGGTCAGGTCGGCCAACTTCACGGTCACACGCTGGACTTGTATTTGCCCTTTGAGCCTAGAGCCTGAGGGTCAAGACTCTAAACTTCAGATATGTATGACAAATGGAGTCGTGGTATGGATGAATATGGATGTGTGAACAGTTTGGACAACGAGGAGTATGGAGTGTGCTTGTGGTGGATAGAAGCAGATAGAAGCTCGGCTGGAAACTTTCCAGATCCCGGAACGGAGTTGGTTTTCCTCATTTAAATTCGAATTTCTGTACATAAATAACTGGAGAATATGCTGAGGAAAGCTGATCAAGGAAATCACCTCAGACCAGAATTGAAGTACAATTTGCTAACTTAACAAAGTCCCTCGATGCCTCGACAGCTGTCATTCAAACTAGTTGAATCCGCATGTCTCAACAAAGTCCCTCGATGCCTCGACAGCTGTCATTCAAACTAGTTGAATCCGCATGTCTCAGCATGAGGGACTTACCCCTAATGTCTGCTTTTTGGCCTGAAGGCTTAGGCCCTTCTTGGTGGAGGGCATCTTGTTTTCCTCTTTTCCGTGAGCACACCGAAGATTTTCTGCCAACCGTTCACACAGATGTGCGCTGAGTCTTGCTCCATATCGTACCGGTGGACTCATCAAATTCCCCTCGTTCTTCGCTGAGCTACATACATTTGAATTTTCGTAATTTCCACATGTAGCTCGACTATGTCGGGGGACTGCTCACTATAGAACCAAAGAAGTCCTCGACCTTAGTCGAGCTACATGTCAAAATTACACAAATGCAATTTGATGTAGCTCAGCGAGGAACCAACGTTCAGGGATGCTTTCAGTTGTAAGATGTGTAGGCAGAGCGAGCGCATACGTGGCTGAGCGGTTGGCAGAAAATCCTCGGTGTGCTCGCCGAAAGGAGGAAAAGAAGATTGCAAGCCGTTAAACAACAGGCAACGATGTCAGGATCGATAGACAAGTATGCCCTCGGATCCACCGTGGATCGCAGGATGCACTGGTGCATCGGCACGTCACTGTGTGCATCCATGGAAGTGCATACTTGGATGCACTGAGTGACGTGCGAATACTACCGCTCGCGTAAGAAGGAGAGATGCCAAAAAACAAGATGAACTATTGAATTTCAAGACAGGAGCCATCGGAAAGAAAAAACAAAGAAGGTGACAGACGGAAATGAAGATGAGAGAGTGACAATCGGACAGAAAGCTAGAAAGCGTGCCCATCGGACAGAAAACTTAGACCACATCGTGAAAGTGACTCACACCTGAACCCAACGAGCTTTGCGTCGTTGACCGACTGTGGCTGTGAGTAAGGAATCTGACTCAACACATGGTCAGAACGATTACAAAGAGGGAATTTTTGATGGCACAGAAAGAGGAACAGATTGAAAAGAAAAATACAAAATTTGAAGTTTGTCAACTTCCAATATAAGTTGACAGCAAGTTCGATCTGAGACTTGATCAGCGAGAGCGCTTTGGAGTGAGAGAAGCGAGGGTTAAAAATGATACTGAGCATAGGTGAACAGCGTAATCGAAGACAACTTACTTGTGCATGTCTATGCTGTTTTGAAGGGCGACCGCTGTCGAGAGCATCACCAAATGACCTCTCCAGTCGCTTTACAGACCCCTCGATCGCTTCCACAGTCTCTGGGTCAACCGAGGTGATCAGACGGTTGATTGCATTCTTCGATAACGAATTAGTGATGCGTTTGAGTGTGGCGCAAGTAGATCTGACTAAAGGAGTGGTAAAGTCACTATGAGAAATTGTTTTTGAGACCTGTTCCAAGGCATTCGGATCGACGGATTGCGGTAAGGAGTGATCTTCCTCGGAGCGCTTGATATGCTGTTCGGAATCAATCGAAGAGCTCGCATCTGAGCCATTGTCGCTATCGGATGTCAACACGTATAACTCAAGGCCCAGCGTCCGGCACATTTTTCGCATATGAGAACAGGGCTTGCTGAGGTTCTGAAAATGATCACAGTTACACTCGGTAACCAATTTACGCCCACAGTGAAGCTTGCAAGTAATTATTGGCATAGCCGTGTTTTCAACAGAGACAGTCGGATTCCTGTTGAAAACAATAGGCAGTCCCAATTCTTTTGACACAGTAAACATATGACCACACGGTTTCTTTGTGAATTGAAACATTTCACATCCACAAGATGTGACAGCTTGATCATCTACATCGATTGAACACATCACAGAAGCTTCGATCACGGATCCGAACCACTCATATGGTGAGCCACCGGGAGGAGAAGACGAAATTTGAGCCTCGACAAAGGAATTTGAAGCTTGCACTGTTTCGGCATCCACCACAACCGAATTGGCCAAATCACGATTGGAGGAAGAGACTGTTGATGTGATATCACTAGAGATACGATTATCGGAACCAGTGTTCAAACCGATGGGCCAGGGTTGTGGAATCCGATCTGATTGTTCAGGGTATTGTGATTTGATGTATGAAGCATAAGTTTGAAGTGTATGGACGTTCCCATAAGGGCCAGTGAGCCACTGTACGGTGAAGATTGAGCTAGGGTCCTCGACTATCACCATGTCAAAGTTTTTCGAGATTAGGTACATGTGCTTGCATGCCACCTTCTCTTTAGAAAAGCCTTCACAGTTGCAATTTGAAACTTCCGCTTTCAAGTGATGTCGCGCAGGTTTGAACTTGACTAGATACGTCCGTCTTGATGGATTTGAAAGTGAGTCAATGAGGAATAGGCCAGGAAAGCGAAAAATTCGGACACCCAGAATAGATAGATCATCCACCGAATAATGATCCGCAGTACGTTTGGAAATTTCCTGAGCTTTATTTGTTCGCGGTCCACGAAAGCCCAGCAGAACTTTTGAAGAAGCAATTCGGAAATCAGGCTCAACTTCTTTCATAAGGATATGTACTAGGTTGTCGGGTCGGAGGCGTGTATGACGAGGGAGATAGATAACTTTCAGAAGCCGGTGCCATACTTCAACATAGTTGTTTGTATGGATTCCCTGGTTGTTTGGGTGTGCATAACTTCTTGCCCAGCGAGCTACATGCTTCATCCAGAAAGTACGAACATAATGGACAAATTGAGGTTGAGACTCTGCCCACTCATGGACAAATTGATCAAAAGCTGCCTGAGGAGAGACCGCATAAGCTATTTTGATGAAACCAAGGACCAGGTCTTCCGCTATTTGTTTACCAGCCTGTGGACCAATATCGTATCACATTAGTGTTGAGAAAGAAAACCAGATTGAATGAGAAAGACACACCAACTCGATTGCCTTTTTACGGGCCGCGCGTAGAACATGAAAGAAGCACCAGGACAGCTGAGGCGGGGAAGTTGAGTCTGAATACGCCTCTTTGATAGCACCTGCCAAAGCTGGACAACAGTCGGTCATGAACGTCTTTGGCTGGAACTTGTGATCTTGTCGAAGCCACAGTAAGATATCACGAATTGTCGGGCTGATCGGAAACGATTGAAAAATGAGATACTGGATGCAAGCAAGGGATGCCTAGGATAATAAAACAACACTCACATTTGTTCATTTGATGTCAGAAACCAAACAACAGGAACACCTTTTCCAGTTACAGGGCTTCGTATAACAATAGTGTAAAGGGAGAGTTTGATATTGTCAAAGTCTTTGGGAAAGTTGTTTGTTGTATTGTGGGTTGAGTCAAGGCATACGATATCTCCCCCATGTGCCTGTAGCTGTTGCTTTTGCCAAGGGGAGAAGAAGGCAAAGCTGATGAACCGAGTCTTTTCATCAAAGCGGTCTCGAACATGCCATCCATTTTCACGAAGTTTATTGGCCCAAGCTTGAAGTGAGTGGTAAGCATTTGGATCGAGGTGCACTAGTTGATCCCGACGCTTACGGATCATGTTCTTGACAGTTTGATAGTCTATATTAAGCAGTTCAGGGACATAATCAGGGGTTTCAAGATCCTCCTGTAATCACAAAACAGCAAATGGAGCATCAGATGATAAAGCGACCATAGTATCATAGACGAACTTGGACAACCTACAGGGAATAAATCAGGGGACATGAGTAGTCGCCTGATTGCAGGCCAATCCATTCCACTAACCACCCTCTCGCACAACCAATCTCGAACAGGAGTGGCTAAACGCATACGCTTCATATCGGCAAGGCTGTATGGTTCATGATTTGCGTGTTCCCAAACCCAATCCAACTCGTAGAGTCCGTTATCAATTCTCTTCTTGATTGTAAACTTAGCAGGACATCCAACTTTCATTGAAGGTTGTGATTTTCTTTTTAACTTCTCCTTTGGTAAGACTGTAGTGATGACATTTCCAGTAGTACGGGTCAAGTGTGCAGGGTTGGTAGGACTGGTAGTGTTGTCATCGGTGGGGACAGAAGAGGCCTTTTTGCGAGGGTGACCAGCACATGGGCATCGGAAAGTCCAAGTATCTTCATGGATTCGCTTTGGTCCGTGACTTTTCTTTGAAGACATTGCTTCTTCAGCCTTTGCTTCATCTGATGACAATCGCTTCCGGCCATTATTCCGTTTACTTTCAACTACCCAGTGGATTGTTGTTCGCATGGCGGCCACAAAGTCTTCACGTATGTTCGGCAGATCTGGCAAAGTTCGGCATAAAGTTGGTTCTTCAAAAACAGGTGGCTTCTCCGTCACATTGCGGACCAATCGAAGAGAGTCGCTTGGTAAGTCAGAACCCGCTGGGATAGGAACATAGTGGATGAAAGGAAGTGGAACAATTTCGTATATGTCTTGTAGCATTGGGTACTTGTTGAATCCACTTGAGTTGATCTGATTCCCCTTCCGAATTGATTCAGAATCATATGAAATAAAGTCTACGATTTGAGGTGCAACAAACGGTCTTGAAGCCATGCTAGACAAGCAAACAAAGTGATCAATCAAACGGTAGAAAATCAAGTCGAAGCAGGTGGGTTTGCGTAAGGTTTTGCTGATAATATTTAAGGAAGCCAAAATTAAAAGATATCAACCAGTCAGTCACTTGAAAGAACACAAGCTATAGAGCAGAAGACAAACCAAACCTGTCTTCAGAACACTCTTCATTCTGTCGAGTCACCACGGTGTAAAGTTGAAGGAGATTTTACCAGTCAACTGGAGACATTTGGAAAGCACCGATTGACTCCAAAATTGTCGATTGTCAGATGGACGATGCAAGTGTGAATGTCTTCGCTTCTTTGAAAGTGACAAGACAATCATGTCAGTCAACAATTTGATTGACCTGCAATCAAAACACTAGCTGCAGCCGTTTGACATCACAGATATTCAAGGCTAAGAATGTCAACAACACCCTAAACCAATCCAAGCTGTGAAGATTACCCCCGACAGTTTTTGACCATGCACTAGCCGCCTGATGATACACATCATTTGAAGGAATCATGAGGCAAATACCATTTCAAAGACAATAGGAAAAATAAAAACCCCCAGTCACAGTATCAACGACAGGCTGGACTATCAAATTCTCAATTAATTGGGAATTATCTATTTGGTTCTGGACCTAAACCAATCTCCTGAGTTGTAATTGAAGAAAGTGCAGAAGAACACAATACTGAAGGACATTAGTCATGTGAAGAATGATATTTTGTAACTTTAGATCACTGAAATAATATACATTTATAGTATGGTCAATTGGATAGCAATTTTGTGATTCATGCCAAAAGAATCATCAATCCAAAAAAAAATCAAGGATTGATTTCTATGGCACACTGCCTTTGAACAAACAACAGTTGACCAACATTGAATCATAATTCAATGAAAACAATTGGTCCATTGCTATGGCACACTGCCTTTGAACAAACATCAATTGACCAACATTGAATCATAATTCAATGCAAACAATTGGTTCATTGCTATGGCACACTGCCTTTGAACAAACATCAATTGTTTACATTGAATTATAAATCAATGAAAACAATTGGTTCATCTTAATGGCACACTGCCATTGAACAAACAGCCATTGAATGACATTGGATCTAAGACAAGGTGAAGAGGTGAAAAGATTGATTGAGCTGTTAGGTGCGAAATTGAAAATCAGCCAAGGTGACAGGGTGGGAAAAAAGAATGAGGTGTTGGGTGGCAAACTTGATTATGAATGGAACTGTGGAGATTGGCCCATTTGGCAGCTTGCTTATATATCTTGATTTAGGCAAAAGCGTCATGCTGCTCTCAAAAAGCAATGAGCTACTTTCAAAAAGCAATTAGCTACTTTTGAAAAGCAATGTGCTAATTTTGAAAAGCAATGCACTGCTTTTCAAAAGCCCCAGGTGCTTTTGAAAAGTAACGCACTGCTTTTGGAGAGCAACAGGTGATTTTGAAAAGCCAAAAGTGCTTTTGGGACAAGATATGCTTATTTTGAAACGCATGAGCTTGTTGTGAAAAGCCAGGGCTTTCAACCTATAAACCAAACCCATTTTGAGATTCATCAAAGCAGCCATTGTATGGCTTCATTATCAGAGCAGCTTGCTATCATTCAATATCATTTCTATGTCAATGACATTGAAGGCGTGCTGAAAGCCAGCCTGTTGAATGAAAACAATGGATGTCTCATCTTTGCAGTGTGTGACCGAATGAGTATCCCCAAAAAGTTGAGCTAGGGACAGTGGTACATCACTCAATCTGGTCAGGACTCACTGACCAGTAAGATTTTGTTGAACACTCAGTATGAGCTTGGCTTGGTTCTTCAAAGGCACCAGGGATATCAAAATTTTCTATTACACCATTGTTTGAGAAATACATGTCTAAATGATTGTTATGTGCGTGATTAAATATGTCATTCAACTCAATAGGTAATTTGGAGGTTTGATCATATTGGGATGGTGAGAAACAAAATGTGTGTGTGAGCATAATTATTATCTACAAGAGGAAAATTCCTTTACTATCCAAGCTCCTAACCTCAACCTTCATGATTGAAAGTTTCAATTGTTGCGGGGTAATGAGAAACAATATGTGTTCAACAACATAATAGAGTATTTTGCAAAAAATCAGGCTAATGAGAAAGAACACATGTGCAAAAACCAACAATAATATTTATAACAAGACTGCAGTTGAAACACATAACCCATTACCTCCATGATCTGAAGCTATAATTTCAGGGTAATGAGAAACAATGTGGGTGCAAGTTTATCAAAAGACTGTCCTAACCTCATAATATCATAACAACCTGGCTGTGACCTCCAAACCACCTAAGCACCGAAGTGCCTAAGCCTCCTAACATTTGCAGCATGTTGAAATATATATTTCTCTTTGATAGAATTGAATGAATTGAAGTTTTCATACATTCAGGACAATGTGAAACAAGGCATTTGCAAAAACACAGACATTATTTATAAACAAACTACCCTAAACACCTAGCTCCTAACCCCTAGGCTCTAACCTCCTAAACCCAAGTTCTAACCTCCTAACCACTTAACCTCCTAAGAAATTGAAACAAGACGTGTGCAAGAACAAAGAGGGTCTTCATAAAAAAAATGCCCTAACCGCCAAGGCCCTAACCCAAATCTAACCTCCCAACCTCCCAACATTCTAACCTCCCAACCTCCCAACCCCAAATCATAACCTCCCAACCCTAACCCCAACTTCCTGACCCTAAATGCTAAGCTGCTAAGCTGCTAACCTGCTAACCCTAACCCTCACCTGCTAACCTCCTAACTCCTAACCCTAAACCCTAAACTCCTAACCCTAAATTCCAACCTGCTAACCCTAACTCCTAACCGCCTAACCCTAAATCCTAACTTCCTAACCCTAAATCCTAACCTCCTAACCCTAAATCCTAACCCTAAACCCTAACTCCTAACCTCCTAACCCTAAATCCTAACCTAACCCTAAATCCTAACCTCCTAACCCTAAATCCTAACCTCCTAACCCTAA